GCATGGTCCCCTACACAGACACAGATACATACACTTAATTTTAAAAATAAAATTAGTGGGTTTGGGGAGATGGCTCAGCAGTGAAGAAGGTCTATGGTTCTTGAAGAAGACCCCAGTTCAGTTCCCAGTACCCATGTGAGGTGGGTCACATCGACCTGGAAGCATAACTCCTGGCCTCCATGGGAACCTGCACATATGTGCACATACCCACAGACACATACACATACACATAATAATAAAAATAAATCTTTTATTATCTTTCTTTTTTGTGTATGAGTGTCTTGACTGCATGTATTTAGTGCACCTGTTTCATGCAGTGACTATGGAGGTCAGAAGAACGCATCAGATTCCCTTGGACCTGTTGTTACAGACAGTTGTTAGCTGCCACGTGGGTGCTGGGAATCAAACCCGGGTCCTCTGGAAGAGCAGCCAGTGCTCTTAACCACTGAGCCATCTCTCCAACTCCCCAAATTAGATTTTTCAAAAGAAATTTAAATTAATCTTTCAAAAATTATTACACACATTTATGTATGCATGTGTGTATATGCATGTTTGTATATGCAGCACACACAGGAAATCAGAGAAAATCCAGTCTCCTCCTTTCTCATGTGGATCCCCATCGCAGTTTGTCAGACTTGGTGAGATTTTACCTCCAAGATGCCTTATCTCTAGATGCTTCATGTCCTCTGCAAGAGCAGCAGTGCTATTAACTGCTGAGCCACCTCTCCAGTCCCAGAATTTTAATCTTTGAACCCTGTAAGAATTTCATTTAAAGAAAGGCCCTGAATCCTGCAACCTGATGGCCTGGGGCAATGGAACACACCCTCCACCCACCTGCCCCCAAACCCACCTTCCCACATCAGTTCTTTGAAACTTATCACCTGGGAAAGCCTGGGAGGTCATCAGATACAGCGCTCTTTCATTAGGAACAGAAGTTTGTCAAGCTTCTGGGTCCTGTGTTTGCAGGATCTGACTGACCATGCAGCCCACCCGTATGCAAAAGCAAAACCTGTCCTGCAGACCTACTTTTAGTTTGTCTGAATGTTCTTTATGTAGTGTTTATGGGGTCCCTGGACTTCAAATTTTATTTCTAACCTTTGGAACATTTTCCTTGTCTAAAATGGAATTACCAAGAAACAGTCTCCAGTTGTACATCAGTATACCCATGAACAAATCAGGTGTCTGCACCCTGAGTTGAAGGACCAGTAACCCCCCTTCCCGCTGGTAGTCTTGGAAAGAAACTAGCACCATCAGGAGACACAGGTTAGGACAGCATGTTCTGGGAAAGGGCGCTGTGTACCCCCAGACTGCAGTCCCCAGCGGCTGGCAGGTAGGAATCCTTAGCTCAATACAACCCCACTTACCTGAAATGGAGCTGTCAATGGGCAGAGCCAGGGTCACAGGAACCTCACCTCCAGGCCCTGTGGCATAGGGAGCCAGTCAGAAGCAGAGAGCAGGCTCCAGCAGACTGTGAGGTCCCGTCGTTCCTCTGTAACCTCAGAGCAATACAGGCCCAGTCATGGAGCTTCTGAGCTGGAACAGAAATGCACCTCAGGGACTTAGAGAACACAGGCTCTCCCCTCTACTTCTTCCTCTGCCTCCTGTCCCTCACAGGCTCCAGAGTACAGCTGCCAGGATCCCTGGGCCTCTTCTGGTGGTGAGAACCTGGAGTGCGACCCAGTCACCTACACCAGAGTCACTGTCAGGGATCTTAGAAGACTATCAGTTTGAATCAAGCCAAGAATGTAGAATAGGGAACACCAGAAAATCCCACTGCCTGAACAACTCTGAGGTTTGACACAAGGAAGGGCCTTTATCAAATGGACAGAATATGGACTTTTATATGCAAACAAGCTCACTGAGTCATGTGTTCTTGTGTCCTGTGTACCTAACCTTGATCTATTTCAAACTCAATTTGCCCTCCACCCAAGATGATTGTAT